CCCCCCCCCATCCTGCACCCCCCCCTTAATTGTGTTGTAAATTACCTTTCCTCTGTATTAGCTCCTGCTAGTCCATCAGGCCGGGGAGGTGGGGAGGGTCTGTGCGCCGTGTTTGATGTGTTCCGTGCGCTGCTCTATATGCATTAGTGTGAGGAGGATCATTATGTGGCCTGTATTTGAGTCATTTTTATTTAAGATGGCAGACAATGGGCTGTTGATTGAGGGAAACAGAAGGCGGACAATGCCGGTCTGTGAGACATAATGCGGCACCATTTTTCAGTGCCGCTTTAGAAGGGCCCCGGCTCATTGTGCCGCCGGGGGAAAAAAATGGTGCTTAGGAGGAGGAATATTTTGCCGTGGTATGTCATTATTTTGCAAATTTCTATTATCTCATCATGTTGTCTTCTTTGTAATTGCAGCTAATTAGGTGGCTAGCTGGAGCCCTGGCTTTGAGGCTGGCTTTCCTGTGAAAGGAGCCCACCGATTATCGCTCCGCAAGAGAGGCAGCGCAGAAAGGGGAGATTAATCTGGTTACCTTGGCGACACTCGCTTCCATCTGCGAGGAACAATGCATTTTTGTTTCCTTGGATCAGTTCAGATCAACAGAACGTGGTTCCCTTCTGTAACAATGCTGAATTCTTTCTAACTAGCCCCCTCCCCCCCCCCACACCACCCAACAAACCAACCCTCCCAATCTCTCCTTCTCCTCGATCTTCCGTCCACCTGTCCTTCCACCCAAGCTGGGCCAGCCCTGACCGCGTGGTCCGGAGTTCGGGGCCCTGGCTGCCTCTGGGTCCCTTGGCACCGGGACAGGTTGGGGTCAGGGTCGGCCAAGGCCGTGACCTTGTCATGCATAAGTCGGGGGAAGATTTTTTTTTCCCCTGCTTTTTCCTCCAAATCCTCCACATGCTGAAAAGCACTTAATGAAATAATGTACCCCCCCCCCCCACCCCACCCCCCTGCTGACTGTGTGAGACGGGCGGGCCTGGGGGGGGGGCGGAGGGGGGCATCAGGGCCCCCACGTTTGTGAAATGGAGACACAAAGAAGCAGCCAGTGAGCAGTGACTTGTACAGTAGAGGACAGCAGGGCTTTTTTTTTTTTTTTGGGGGGGGGTGCCTTTTATTCCCTTTGTAGTAGTGGGCCTTTCGTGTTGCCGGGCTAGGTTGGCATAGCAGGCGAGGAAAACGGTCCGCATCCGGCCTGGTGACTCAGAAAACCTGCGGGACCAAACAGGGACCTAGACTGCGCCCTTTGGTAACAGAAGTATTCACTGGCGCGTTTTTCTTACACGTACTCCCCAGTAGTTTCCATTTATGGCTGTGTTTCCCCGTGCCGCCGCTGACTATGCTGGCCGCCCCACGGGACACCCCCCCCCCCAAGCCCACAGTGCCCCTCACCCCCCCGTGCTGCTCCCGTCCCCCTGGCTTGCGTTCCAGAACAAGGTTGCCCTTGTGGGAGGAGCGGCTGGCCTTCCATCCACTGACCCCCCACCCCTTGTGGGGACACAGGTATCTCTGTGGGGGTTAAAATGGTAAGCGGCGTACGCGGGTGTGATGTCACGGCCGGCCCTGGCTGCACACTGCCCCTGTCACTGTTCCCTCCTTGGCATCATCCGCTTTTAAGAACCAAGGCTTCTACATAAACGGCAGCTTCCACTATAGATACAGAGGACTGATCAGCTGAGAGTGTGTGAATTACAAGTTGTCCTCCTTAACACTAAGGAATTTGCAGTCTGTGATTACCAGTCCTAGTTAAAACAATGTGTCCAGCAATAATTATCCCTCATTTTCATTCAAAGAGCTTGGAAAATACTTCCCTTTCCCAAGTGCTGATTTGTTTTTAATTGTGTTGATCCCAGTAGGACACTGGTTTCAATTATTCTAATATTAGTCAAGAATGAAGATGTATGATCTGCAGACCCTTCTTGTATAGTCATCAGTGAGCAGCTGTACAAAATATTAATTCATTTAATATTGTAATTTAATCTCCTAGAGCAGTCAACTAGCTTCTAACTTGCCATTCCTCTATTATGACACAGTAGCAAAAATTCTTCTTACAGAATTTTTTTAAACTTACGGCTCAGAGATAATATTTCTTTCGATGTTTCTTCTTTTATAATGTTTAGTTTGGCCTCTATCTTTACTTATTCCAGTGGATTCTTTGAGGCTTTTGACTCTGTCGAGATCACCTACATGGAGTCCCCTTTCTTGAAATTGCCCTTTTTTGGGCAGTTTTGGTATTTGCTTTTCCTTGAAGTATTGACAGTTCGTTTTCTTTGTCACTGACAATACGTTTCTGAAGTATTACCACCTGTTTTCCACAGATTGTGTACTCATCTGTTCCCCAGCTTACTCTGACTAGCCTCTCTCTCTCTCTCTCTCTCTCTCTCTCTCTCTCTCTCTCTCCCATTTGATCGTAATATGGTTCTTTGAAGTTGCAGACATTTAATTCAGTTTCTTCCTTAACAAATTAAACTATGTGTAAAACACTCCCATATTGCAGTCACAGTCACCCACTTCTGCAGTTATAACACCTCTATACTTGTCATTGAGTCCTAATTATTTGAGAAGTCCAGGTCAAGAAGCACTTTTTCCCCTGGTGGGCGATTTCACAAATCATGCTAAGTATCTTTTACCGTTTATCTTGTATCCGTTTCAAATTCGCTATTAGCTCGCGCTCAGATCGGCTCGTTGCTTTAGCAGATCGCGCTGCACATGCCAGGTGAGTCTCCACGGCTTGGTCTCTGATCACAAAGTTCTCCATTGTTTGCTATGTGAGATGACGTGCGTTTGACGATAGCCTGGGCTTGCTGCTCCACAAGCTGGGTCCCTGTGGTTCCGTTTAGTATTTTCGTGTGACAGTTCACATGTCACATGACTGTTCTCCAAGACGTACCTCTGCTTCTGTTGTTCTCCACCTTCTTTAGACTGAAGGGGGCTTCTGCCTGGCACATAATCTCCTTCCTCTTCCCCATCCTCTCCTGCTCCTTCTCCATATGTTCCAGCACCTGCAGCACCACCTGCTGACTCTCCTACGCATTCACCTGCTCCGTGGTCTTTGACCCATCAAACCGACATAAAGTGTAGACTACCTGTACATCCTTAATACTGCAGATTCTCTTGCCCCTTTGTTCGTCATTGGTACTGATTTGTAAGATGTGCACAGTTTATTTCTCTGATGGAGCTGCACAGAGCACCAGCAAGGGCTTTTTCATGGATGGCATGGTGCTGTAAAATGGCTTTATTTGTATATAGCAGAGAAGGAATAAGTGCCGGTTCCCCAGGGTTCATCTCTGCTGATCTGCCTCTTGACGCCTCTCAATCGTCTCCTTTGTGGGCCATGACTAGTGTGATATGACGGTAGCATCTGCTGCAAATGGAGTGGATCTCAGGACCTGGTTTCCACAGGTGTTGGAGTCATGTGGTCTAGCTGTGTAGGGTAGGATGTCTAAGTGTGTAGGGTAAGAGGTCTAGGTGTCTATTCTTCCTTTTGATGCTGTTGAAGAACATTTCACTCTTTGGTTCCTTTTGGACCATTCCGGTCACTAACCTATTCATAGAAGAATCATAAAAGGGGGAAGGATGTTCGACATCATTACTGGTCAAGAATGTTTGCCTTTGTGAACTATGAACTATGGTCCAATATCGTTGATGAGCTGCTTGGACAAACCATATGACCTCAAGATCTGGATGGTCTTCTTTGAAGTACTGGCAGCC